GCCCTCACTCTGGACTCCCAAGGTCCCTTGCCCCAGCTTTCTTTCCCAGACCCTTTCAACAGACTCCCAGCTTCCTGGCGCCACCTCACATTCACTGTTGTTCAGTTTCGGGTAGCTTTGTCTTGATCAGCCAAAAAAGAAAAAAGAAAAAGCTTAACTTAGCTTTCAAAGGAATAGATCAAGCCCATTCCTCTCCTCAAAATATTCCAGCCTCCCATCTTTCTCAAAGCCAGTGTCCTTACTATGGCTCACAAGATCCTCCAGGGTCTGGCCTCGGTTTCTTCACTGACTTCAGCTCCCACCGTGATTTCCCTTACCAACTGTTCAGGCACCCTTTCAGATCTGGGGCTGGGGCTGAGAGAAAGTCTTAGTGTCTTCCCTGGGTGCTGGCCTCTGAAGTCTACCCTTTAATAACCAAAATCCGTGACCCGTGCCCCAATCCCACGTGGCCCTCTCATTATTCTCAGACGCAGCAAGCAGGCTCACACCCTTTGCACTTAACTGTTGTACACTCTGCACCCCGATTTCCACATGCCTGTTTCCTCCCTCCATTCAGGCCACTGTTCAAATGTCTCCTCCATAGAGGCCCTCACCCACTCTACCTACACCTGTCCTCCACCCTGGTCATCCTCTGTCTTTCTACCCGGCTTTCTCTTTCCTCATAGCACCTTCCGATCCTGGACCTGATGTTGTAGACTCCACTGTCTGTTGTTTTAGTGTCTGTCTTCCCCACTGGAATCCTCCTAAACAGGGGCAGGCACTTAGTCAACGCTTGATCCACATTTGTTACATAAGCAGATGAGTGACTAGACGTGAATCCAAAGCCTGGCGCTGCTATTTGGTAGCTTGTGGCATCGCACAAGCCACCTCGTGACCCTGAGCCTGGTCTTCCTGACCGTGAAGCAGAGGCGATCCTGTCTGCCAGCTGGGGTGGTGAGAATGAAAGCGGTGTTGCATGGGGACGGGGCTCGGGCGACTCCTCGGGTGGCACTGACGTTGCCATTCCGTGCTTGTGTCAGCTGCATTCAGAAGGTGCTTCTTGCCTAAGGCTCCTGAACACCCCACACACTTCCAGGGCGCCTGCGACTCTACGACCTACTGGGGAACCTGCAAGATGCCCAAGGAAAAGACAACCAACCATGGGGCAAGGCGAGAGCCTGCCTTGTACAGAGGGGCTCTGCATTCACATGAGGTGACCACAGCCTTTATATGGAAGACCATCCTGGCCATCCCTGCTACCTTCTGCTGTCTGTTCACGAAGCCCTGGAGACCACCTCTGCTGGCCAGATAGATGGCCCTTTGTGAGTCCAGCAGCCCTTCCACCAGCTGCCTCCAGCAGCCTCGCACACGCTGGGCTTGCAGCAGGACGCCCAGCCAGTCACCACAGAGTGGGGCTTCACTGAATTTTGTCCTTGGGATGGACAAAAGTGTTAAAAGGAAGAAAGAGATTCACAGTGTTACCTTTTTAGCAGGCTGAAAGATACCTGGGCCCATTTCTGAAACTTTTTAAAAAGGAAATAGTTCGTCCATTGAAAGTCCCACCATTGTCAGTTTCATGTTAAGATACTTCCTACAGTTGATCATGCCTGACGACTTGCAAAGGAGACAAGGCCAGCAAACATGCGACGAACTGAGTGCACCCTGTACCTGGAGTCTGAACACAGCTCTGGGGGAAGATGCTCAGAGCAGAAGGACCACAGTCCCTGCCCTTGAGGGCTTCCTGTGCCTGAGACTTGGGGGGCTATGGGTGATGTGGACAGGTGGGCTGCCTCATCTGAGCCAATAAATTGCACCAACACAGATGACAGTGCGGTCTTCAGGTGGGATGTGGATGGAATCTTCAGCTTCTGTGTTTAGATGATGAAATAAGACACCTGCTCTGTCTGTCAATTTAAAGTTGGCAATTGACACAAGGAAAAGGGGATCACTGGCGCCTAAAAGATGATGGACAGAAACGTGATCCAGTTAGCATAGTTATCAATAAGCTAATGACATAAAAGACACAGGTAACAAATGGGTAAGGGAGTCAAAGGGAAAGAATAATGGCATGACAGAATAAGGACCTCTCAGCAGGCTAGGCTGCTAATAAATGTGAAGTGTTGCTTTTGGGATCAAAAGGACAATCACACTGAAACAGGATGCATTTTGACGATCACTTATTTTTAAAAATGCAAGTTTTAAAACTGACCACAAACTTAATAGGGGCCAACCACGACAGAGCTGCTAAAAATCACAAGCAGGCTGGTGGTGGTGGCTCACGCCTGTAATCCTAGCACTTTGGGAGGCCAACATGGGTGGATTATGAGGTTGTGAGTTCAAGACCAGCCTGGCCAATATGGTGAAACCCCATCTCTACAAAAAATACAAAATTTAGCCGGGTGTGTTGGCGGGTGCCTGTAGTCCCAACTTCTTGGGAGGCTGAGGTAGAAGAATCACTTAAACCTGGGAGGTGGAGGTTGCAGTGAGCCGAGATTATACCACTGTACTCTACACTGGGTGACGGAGTGAGACTTTATCTCAAAAAAAATCACAAGCAGTTGGTGGTTCATGCCTGTAATCCCAGCACTTTGGTAGGCTGAGGCGGGGCAGATCATAAGGTCAGGATTTTGAGACCAGCCTGGCCAATATGCTGAAACCCTATCTATACTAAAATTATAAAAATTACCCGGGTATGGTGGTAGGTGCCTATAGTCTTAGCTACTCAGAAGGCTGAGGCAGGAGAATCATTGGAACCTGGGAGGTGGAAGTTGCAGTAAGCCAAGATTGTGCCACTGCACTCCAGCCTGGTGACAGAGACTCCATCTCAAAAGAAAGAAAATAAAAATCACGAGCAGTGCTGGGGAGGCTGTCTGATTGAAATATTTAGCTCCTTGGAATCAGAAAAAAACAAATGGGTTCAAATCTCAGCTCTGCTATTTACTAGCTATGTAACCTTAGGTTATCCATAGCCCTCTCTGAGACTAAGACTAGCTGAAAGGTGATGGCAACACCATCCTTAAAGGGTTATTTTGAAAATTAGTAATAGGGTACATAGAGGACCACGCCCAGTGCCTAGTAGAATTTGGCAGATCTTAGCACATAGAAAGCCCCCAATAAATGGTCATTGTTAGTAATTCACCTGCTACAAAAATGTAGAGCTTAAATTTTTTAAAGGTAAGAGAAGTCTTTCTCTATTCTGTGCCTCTCAGGCCCGTGGAAGTATTATTTCCAGACCTAAGATAAATGGGAAAGTAACCAGGTCGTTGAGACTTCAGGTGAGGGATAGAGCAGAGTCAGTCTAAGAAAAAAAAAAAAAAACAGAGTTTCAAACACATGGCATTTTGATGTTGTTGTTCAGATATTTAAGGGACCATCAGATTAAGAAAGATATGTTATGCTGCTCCAAAGAGCCAAAGTAGAGGTGAAAAGAAGTTAGTGGGAAATGTCTTGGCTCAAAGAGGAAACAGAGCTGTCCACCATGAAATGTGCTATCCTGCAAAGTTAGCGAGCTCCTCATCCCTGGAGGTATTAGAGCAGAAAGCAGTTGACACTCTGTCAGAAACATTATCGACGAGATTTCCATAGAAACCAAAGTAATATAATCAAACATGTTAATAATAATTGATACTGTTTATAACTTCAAACCCTTTCTCCAGCTTCACCTTGGCTTTGTCCATGAGCAGCTGCAAGTGCTCGATCTCCACTTCAGGGCTTTCAGGCGAGTGAACACTGTTCTATACCCGCGGTGGAATCGGAGAAGAGTCAGTGCACCACTGTCTTGAAAGCATGGCATGGAGGGAGAGCTGTAAATGACTGACCACATTTATTGTTTCTCTTATCACAGAGTCATATCTATGATATGTGAATATTAATTCTAGACATTTTACTATGCAGAAAAACAGGAAGAAGAAAGTAAAAATCACCATAATTCCTCTACTTAAATGTAATTGATGTTAACGTTTGATTATATTATTTTATAATAATTGATATTATTTATTGAAATGTTATAGAAGGGATGTCAGAAATGTTATAGAAGGAATCCAAGGTTCCTGAAGTTAGTCACGTAACTTGGGCAGTTCACCCTCTTTGAACTTCAATGTCCTTATCTGTAAAATGGGAGTAATAACACTTATCTCAAATAAATACTGTAAGGATTAAGTCTGAGTATGTCTGGAAGCACATGGACAGTAGCAGAGTCACCCCTACTTGGAGTAAAAAGCAGGGCTGTATGATTTCTAAGATGTTGTCTGTGGAGCTCAGAAAAGCAGGGCAACCATGAAGAGACTCCTAGGAAAATAAAACTCCCCACACTCTGGGCTAGGAGAGAGCCGGCTTCAGATGAGCACACTAGCCAGAGCAGGCAACCAGGCAACCAGGCAACCAGCGGCAGTCATGTGCAGGAAGACAGAGGTTGCCGTAAGTGGGGACGCAGACACATGCGGCAGCTGATCCCTGCTGACTTGCTCAGCCTTGCACCTGGCCTCATCGTGATCCTGTCGCCAAGGCTTGGGCTCAGCCCTCGTTGTGAATTGATATGGCCTGCACTCAGCAGGCTTGAGGACCACTGTGGCAGGGGGAGTGGGAAACAGGAGACACGGTTCTGAGGCTGGAAACTCTGCACCTCCGCTTGGGCAGAGAAAGACGTCAGGCGGTTTAGAGAGGTCTCCTTGTTTGTGAAGGGCTCTTTCTCAGAGGATAGGGAAATGCTGTTTTGCATCTTCCCTGGAGACTCACGAGGAAATGAGTGAGCTCAATAGTAAAAGGGTTAGTAGAGACAGAAGCAGAATTCCCTTCTAGGGACAGATGTTGGCAGTGAGAGGGACAGCAGAGAGATATTAACCCAGGAAGCCGCTCCCCTCAGGGCTTCCAGCTGAGCAGAGGTTGCCACCAAGAGGCCCCAGAAGGAACTCACAGGGGCCCCTTTCTTCTTGGAGTGCCCTTGAACTCTGTCATCTGCCTAAATACACACTTTTCCTTTTACCTTTCTTTTTCACCATCCCATCGGTACCTTCCTTCTACAGGAATCTCGGAAAACATGGCCATGCCTCCCACGCCAGACCAGCAGGAGGAGAAGCTGCGATCACAACTGGAGGAAGAAAAGAGAAGGTGCCTTTCCTTTCAGCCACACACAGCCCCACCCCAGCCTCCCAGGGTCTCAGTGTTGTCCTGGAGCTGCCCAGGGCAGGACAGAGCAGAGTGGCCAACTCCTAGCCCAGGGCTGGAGCTACTCAGGGACGTGGGTCCAGCAGCTGGCTCCTAAAATAGTAGGAAGAGGAGGAGCTGCCTTTGAGCAGGCAGGTGTGAAAGGCAGGAACCCAGGCAGTGTGACTTATGCAGAACTAGCCAAGCCAGGCCCGGGAAGCAGCTGGGCTTGTCCACTGCTTCCACCTAGAGGAGCCAAGAAGTATGACCACGGTGGTCTTCCGCAGGCCTGTGGCTGAAGCCCACTTCCTTCCCGAGTCCTGAGAATGTCATATTCTCAACGCAGCTGCAGACATTTGGGGTCACAGCGTGGTCACCAGATCTCTCCCCACATGCAGGTCAAGGTGCATCCATTCATCCATTTGTGCATTCAGCACATGTGTGCTATCTACCCATCCCATGGTAGGGTAGGTTCTGGGGAGACTAAAGTCACTTTCCCTCCACAAGGAGCTGGTGGTGTCACTGCAGCATATTTCCTGACCTACCCCAATCTCCAGCTGACCTGACATGCACCCATCATCCCCTCCCCCAACTCGCACGCACACCCAGGATATCAAAGCCTCAAGCGCTGGTCTTCAGGTCGCTGCTGGCAGGTGTGCACGTGTCTTCCTACAGAAGGCCCTGACCACCCGAGCACACACGCCTCTGTCACTCTCCACTCCCTTGGGGTCTCCCCAGTCATCCATTTTCTCCCTCACTCTGTTCATTTTCCTCAGTTTCTTTCCAACCCATCCTTTTTTTTTTTTTTTTTTTTTTTTTTTGAGATGGAGTCTCACTTTCTTTCCCAGGTTGGAGTGTCATGGTGCAATCTCAGCTCACTGCAACCTCCACCTCCCAGGTTCAAGCGATTCTCCTGCCTCAGCCTCCGGAGTAGGTGGGATTACAGGCACACGCCACCATACCCAGCTAATGTTGTATTTTTAGCAGAGACGGGGTTTCACAATTGTAGGCTCAGGCTGGTCTCAAACTCCTGACCTCAGGTGATCTACCAGCCTCAGCCTCCTTAAGTGCTGGGATTACAGGCGTGCGCCACCACGCCCAGCCTCCCACCCATTCTCCTTGTGTCTATTCCATCTTCATGGTGTCCCCTTGGCCCACATTTCCAATCTCAGTGTCACCTTAGAGGCCAACTTATCTCTTCGGCCTGGATATTGGACTGTTTCCTGTTGGACAATTTCTAATTCATTATAGCATTCCCAAAACCAATATATGTGTGCATTCATAAGCACAGTGCTACTTTTAGTCCTCAGCATGAAGGTGAGCCAGCAAAACAGTGAGGCAGTTAAGACTGTGGTTCTAGAACCAGGCTACCTGGGTTCAAATCCTGGCTTCTCAGTTATCTCTCTCCCATAGAGCAAGTTATATAACTTCTCCATACCTGCCTCAGATTCCAAATCTGTAAAATGGAGGTGATAACAATAGTGTCTCCTTACTAGGGTTGTGAAGAGGATTAAAGAGTTTCTGTATGTTGCGTGCCTACAGCAATGCTTATCTCTTAGTAAGTGAATGGCAGTTCTCATTCTTGGGGGAGAAGTTATTCATCTTGCACACACAGTCACATGGGCCTAATGGACAAAAATGTCTCCGTCTGCTTCATCTTCGCTGTGATGGACTCAAATCCTGGTGCCATATCCTGGCCTCAGAAGCTCCTATAAGGTCTCAGTCCCTGGGTCCCAGGGCAGCTCTACCAGGACTCTAAGGCACAGGCCCCATTCATTTACAGCCCTCCCTCCATGCCATGCTTTCAAGACAGCAGTGCACTGACTCTTCTCCAATTCCACCGCAGGTATAAAACAATGTTCACTCGCCTGAAAGCCCTGAAAGTGGAGATCGAGCACTTGCAGCTGCTCATGGACAAAGCCAAGGTGAAGCTACAGAAAGAGTTTGAAGTCTGGTGGGCAGAGGAGGCCACCAACTTGCAGGTATGGGCTGGTGATCATCAGGGAAGCTGCGGAGGGGCCAGTCATGCAGCCCCATTGAGGCTGTCAAGAGACAGAGTGGGGGCTTTGACCCACAGGCCCTCATGCTCTCAGCCCCTGCTCATGAAGCAGGTGCTCACTGTAGTAACAAGGATGACAAAAGGTCAAGGGTTCATTGTCGCCTTGCTCTCATGCCTAAAATTCTGCCTGATTAATGGAAAAATTAGGGATGGAAGATGCAGTTCCCAGAAACCTGTGGGTTTGCCACCAACGCTTTGTGTGGTATTCTCCTATTGACAGCATGTATTGTTTTTCTTATCACAGAGTCATATATATGTGAACATTAATTATAGAAATTTTACTATGCAGAAAAACACAATAGAGAAAGTAAAAATTACCGTAATTACTCTACTTAAATGTAACTGATATTAACATGTTTGGTTATATTATTTTACTTTGACTTCTATGCATACATATCCATATGTTTTTATACAAATAGAATCAGGCTGGGCACGGTGGCTCATGCCTGTAATCCCAGCACTTTGGAAGGCTGCAACAGAAGGATCACTTGAGCCCAGGGGTTCGAGACCAGCCTGGGTAACATGGCAAGCCCTGTCTCTGCCAAAATAAAAATAAAAATAATTAGCCAAGCTTGGTAGTATTTGCCTGTAGTCTCAGCTACCTGGGAGGCTGACATGTGAGGAGTGCTTGAACCTGGGAGGACAAGGCTGCAGTGAGCAATGATAGACCCACTGCACTTCAGCCTGGAGTGACTGAGCAAGGCCCTGTCTCCAAAATAATAATAATAATAATAATAAATAAATTATATAGCTGTTCAAGCATTGCAAATGGCTTTTAAAAAATTAATTGTATAGCATGGCTATTTTTTCATGTTATTGTCCTACAGCATTGTTTTAATGGCTGTTACTCTTCCATCGCATAAATATGTTGTAATCTCCTATCGTTGAATATTTAGGTTGTTTCTAGTTTTTTGCCCAAAACATACTTGTAGATAATTTTTTGGCATATTTCCTAGAAAAATTCTTAGAAGTTTTCTGTATGACAAAAGCTAAAATCACCTGTCCGTAAATGTTAGCACAGAATCCCCATTTCAGTTGTCCTTATGTAACATCTCAGCTGTGGCACAGTGGAAGTGCTGAAACACACACAATCAGATCACGTGTCCGACTGGCAGAACCCTTAGTGATTATCTAACAGGCTGATCCCTTCGTTTTAAGGACAAGAAAGCTGAGAGTCAGAAGATGATCTTCCAAGGACACAGCCAAACAATAACCAGTGTGATACCAAGTGGCACGTGACAGGGCAATAGAGAAGAATATCTGGATAAAATTAAATGCATGATATAATAAAGAAAACTGGTTAGAATAAAATACGGTTATCAAAACATTTTGCACTATGGTATAGTAATACGCGTACTACTTTTAAAATGCATCTAGGTATGGGCCCAATAAGATCTAGGTATGGGCCCAATATTTATCATAACTTCAAAATAATGATGAAATGACACAATACTTCAAGATCACTGCACAACTGTCAGGTGATATGAAAATATGCATGATTTCTTCTATTGGTCACAAAGTCACAGATATTGCTAGTACTTCTGTGGTTTGTTGTCTACATTTATCACTGAAGGAAATACTTAATTTCAGGTAGCAGCTAGGGAAAATAAAGATGTGATTGGGTCCCATCCACATTGGCAGAGCCCCCGGATTCTGTTTGTGGACCCCACACTAAAAGCCCTTCCCAGCAAGTTCAACAGTGACTGAGGCTTTTCCCAGCTGGTGCCTGAGGGAGTCCACCACCGACCGGTCGACAAGGGTCATCCAGTGCAACTCAGGAAGTATCCAAGCAAAGCTGACACATTCAGACAGTGTAAGACTCACAGAGACAGCAGAAGCCACAGTAGGCAAAGGTATCAGCTCCATGTGTCCCCTGCCCCACAGGATGTCACTGAAACACAAGGGACCAGATGACAGCAAGGGGGATGGTGGGATACTCTGGCGCAGAGGGGTTAACTCCATGCTGCCCTGAGCAGTTCTATAGCCTCACCTATACCCTGAGCGGGCAGAGGCAGAAAGCTCCAGACCTCATCAGAGCAAGAGAGGTGACAAGAAACCTCTAGGACAGCCTTCTAAGAAGACAGCAAAGCAAGTGTAAAATAACCTAGTAGCAACCACGCAAACTTCCTGTATGCACTCACATTCCAGGAGGCTTACTGGGCGTTCTGCCAAGACTCAGACCAGCTGTGATGTATGCATTGCTCCTCAGACCTGTGTGCGGACATGCATGGCAGAGCACCACAGCCGAGCTTTTTCCCCACACCAAACGCTCGGTGCGTTTCTCCTGACTTTAGTAGCGGGTGTTTGGGGCAAGGAGAAGCAAAACCAGAAAACATTTTTGAAGAATGAAGATTACATTTTAAACATTTTTTTTCTATCTTTAAAAGGAATACGTGTTCAACTTGGAAAACTTGGAAAGAACAGAAGAGCATAAAGAATAAATTAAACATTTCTCATAATTCTGCCATCCCAAGACAAGATGTTGAGGCCCATCATTATGGTCATTACTGTGTCTAGGTTTGGTTTTGGCCATACATATTGTGTACACTAACTTTTATAGCTGGCTTATTCCCCTTAAGAATTACATCAAGGCAGGGCACAGTGGCCCATGCCTGTAATCCTAACACTTTGGAAGGCCAAGGCGGGCGTATCACCCGAGGTCAGGAATTTGAGACCAGCCAGGCCAACATGATAAAACCCCATCTCTACTAAAAATACAAATATTAGCCGGGCGTGGTGGCACAGGCCTATAGTTCCAGCTACTCAGGAGGCTGAGCAGGAGAATAGCTTGAACTCAGGAAGCAGGGGTTGCAGTGAGCTGAGATCATGCCACTGCACTCCAGCCCAGATGACAGAGCGTAGATGCCACAAAGTCGGTGTGTCACGGAAGAAAATGCTTAGGGAAGATTCTTGCAGGAGCTCTAATGATTGCTTTTCACCACTTCTTGGGACCCTGGCATGCTCTGCTCTCTACCTGTGGAAGATGGTTACAGTAGTGACAGAGCTGATCCAACACTTTCACCTCCATCAGTGAGATTTTCTTCTGGACGTGCGTGCATGAATGGCTCACATTTTCCTACACTTAAATGGTGTCAGAGCAAGAAACTTAAATGTACTACTGACTTCTAGAAATGGCTGCGGCACTAGGGAGGTTATCTTTCCTGGCTCTTCCTATTCTGTTTGCAAGGAGAAAACATCCCTGAACATCTGGATATTGAAACTGCACTGAAGAGAAGTTAAGTGGAAAGTCTGAGGTCACTTGGCTGTAAGCGGGGGAGCTGGGGTGTACAGCGCTCTCCCTGTGAGCACTAGAGCCGCTATGGTCACCCATTCCACCGTACTGCATACAGCACGGAGGAAGAACTGCTGGAAGAAAGAATACTCTAGTTGTTGAACAAGACCGTATCTGATTTATCCCGGGGGGTGCTGATCCAAGGGAGTGTTGGCCTCTGAGAACTCCATTTTATAGGGATACTCGTTCAGTATTAAAAATGGCTGTCATTAATTGCGTCTGTGGATCATAAACTCTACTTAGGGACTTTGAAAATCCTTCCCTTCCCCCACCCTCGCACTAACCCTCTGAGATAGATTATGGCACTGATGATATATATGGTGATGCCCATTTTAGAGGTGATTATTGTAGGTGTGATGGGAGTCTGGACAAACTCATTCTGAGCCTGGATAAAGTATATAACTTGCACCAAAAATAAAAAAGAATTACATCAAAAACATCTTCCTATGTCATTAGATTCAAGCTAACACTGTGAAACTCCTTCTGGGGCCAACAGGTAAATTCTCCAGCAGTGAATTCACTCGATCACAAGAAGCCATTTCTCCAGACATCTGACTCCCAGCGTGAACTGTCCCAACTCCTCTCTAACAAAAGGTAAGGTGAGAAGTCACCAGAGGTGTTAGAGTTCCCAGAAAAGGCTCCCTACCTTTCTCTTTAACCTATTCCTGTGGCTCTCATGTCTCCTGGTAAGCCATATGATCCAGGAGGATGAATTCTTTTCACCGTTTAATTAGTCGTAGATACTCAGGACAGTGGCTTTCAAGCTGGTTGGAGTGCACACCCCTTCAGTCCCTCTGAAGCCAGCCAGTGGACCTACTGCCATGGTAACAAGAGACAAGAGGTTTAGCAATCAAGCCCTGGTCCTGCTTCCTGAGTGGGAAGAAGGGGTTGGCAGGAATGGGATAAGGACATAGCATGGGAGAAGCGGGGGTTGGGAGTAGCAGGTGGTAGCCAGCCTGCTGAGACACAGGGGAGCTCTTCGTCCTAGCCAGGATTCAGGCAGCCTCCAATAACGTCACATGTGGATGGCCCAGAGTCAGTCTCCCTAAATGATGGGATGACCATCAGGGACTCTACTTCCCCACAACCATGTTATTGTCTCTTTCCAACCACACAACCCAGGGGGTAGCGCCAATGATGCATGCCTCCTGCCATCATCCATCCCGTGCCAGAGGCCAGGGTGGGCAGTATGTGTGCAGCCTCCATCTCTGCCACCAAGGAGCAATCCTTTGGGTTTGAAGGGGCACTGAGCCCTCACGTTGGAAATATAAAATAGGGCTTTAAAAAAGGTGTCAGAGGGCCAGGCATTGTGGCTCATGCCTGTAATCCCAGCACTTTGGGAGGCCGAGGTGGATGGATCACCTGAGGTCAGGAGTTTGAGACCAGCCTGGCCAACACGGGGAAACGCTGTCTCTACTAAAAATAGGAAAATTAGCTGAGGGTGATGGCACATGCCTGTAATCTCAGCTATGTGGGAGGCTGAGGCAGGAGAATTGCTTGAACCCAGGAGGTAGAGGTTGTAGTGAGCCAAGATCACACCATTCACTCCAACCTGGACGACTGAGAGACACTCCATCTCAGAAAAAAACAAAAACAAAACAAAACAAAAAACCATAACACCAGTCAAAGAATGAGGAAAACATCAGATAAATATCAGATACATCCCAATGGAGGGACACTCTACAAAATACCTGACTAGCATGCCTCCAATTGTCAAGGTCCGCAGAAACAAAGGAGACGCACCACCTAGATGTAAAGTAGGATTCTGGGTGGGAGCCTGGAACAGGAAAAGTCGTTAGCGAAAAACTAAGAAAAGTCCAGTAAAGCATGGCCTTTAGTTAACAACAAGTGTTAACATCGGTTCAGTGATTGTGGCAAATGCACCACGCTAAGGTAAGATTCCCCAATAGGGGAAGCTGGGTACAGGGTACGTGGGATCTCCTTGCCCTGTCTTTGCAACTTTTCTGTAAATTTAAAAGTATTCTTAAAAAACAACTATTGGCTGTGCATAGTGGCTCACTCTTGTAATCCCAGTGTTCAGGAGGCTGAGGCGGGCAGATCACCTGAGGTCAGGAGTTCAAGACCAGCCTGGCCAACATGGTGAAACCCCATCTCTACTAAAAATACAAAAATTTGCTGGGTGTAGTGGTGGGTGCCTGTAATTGCAGCCACTCAGGACGCTTGAACCTAGGAGGTGGAGGTTGCAGTGAGCCAAGATCACACCACTGCACTACAGCCTGGGCGACAGAGCAAGACTTTGCCTCAAAAAAAAAAAAAAAAAAAAAAAAGAGCTATCAGGCCATAAAAAGTCATAAACCTGCAATGCATATTGCTTAGTGAAAGATGCTAATATCAGAAGACTATGTATTGTATGATTCCAACTATGTAACATTCTGGAAAAAGCAAAATTATGGACACAATGAAACAGTCAGTGATCATCACAGACTTGTAGGGAGGGAAGGATGAATAGATGGAGCACAGAGAATTTTCAGGATCCTGAAACTGTTCTGTATGATACTGTAATGTTGCATAGATGATATGCATTTGTCAAAATCCATAGAGCTGTACAGCACAAAGAGTGAACCCCTGTATGAACCATGGGCTTTATTTCATAATAATGTGTCAATATTCATTCATCATTCATAACAAATTAATCACACTAATACAAAATGTTAATAACAAGGAAAACTGTAAGGGGGAAGAGGAGTATAAGGGAATTCTCTGTACTATCTGCTCAATTTTCTGTAAACTTAAAACTTCTCTAAATAATAGTCTATTGATTTTTTTAAATGCAAAGGCAGAATAGCTAGGCAGCCGCTCTGTGCCAAGGCGATGCAGGCAGCTTAGCATTTGCACCCTGCCCCTGGCCCGCTCCATGCATTCACTTTGCACCCCCCCAACCTCTAGAGGCCGGTGAACTTGAATTGCAACCCCTCTATACCTGCCTCCTTCCACACACAGCGCCCTCTCGCTGAAACTCCAGGACTCTACACAGCACATCTGAAAAACACAAGCGAGAGGACTCAGCTTCCTCAGCCATTGCTCTGGCTCTGTGCTCAGTCCCTCGTGTATCCGTCCCATGGGATAAGCTCTCCTCGTAGCTGGGAGGCTCAGCACCCCCCTGGCTGTTTCTCCACTAGCTTTTCTGATCTCTTGGGTAGCTTCTACTGGTAGCAATATCCTGCTCAGCAAATAGAAAGCCCTGTCTCCCATTCTTCCTTTGGCTTCAAAGACATTAAAGAGTGTGTATATGTGTGTGTCTGTAAGGTGGCCAGGAGTGTCAGCAAAGGGCCTGATAAATGAAAGGTAGAAATATACTATGCTTGGCCAGGCACAGTTCATGACTTTATCGCAGCACTTTGGGAAGCTAGAGCAGGTGGAAGACTTGAGGCAGGGGTTCAAGACCAGTCTGGGCAACAAGGTGAAACCCTGTCTCTACAAAAAACATGAAAAACATCCTTCCCTCCCCACAAATCAGTGGCCGGGATGGTGGTACATGCCTGTAGTCCCAGCTACTCAGGAAGCTGAAATGGGAGGTTCTTTTGAGCCCAGAAGGTCAAGGCTGCAGTAAGCCAAGATATGCATCACTGAACTCCAGTCTGGGTGACAGAGTGAGACCCTGTCTCAAAAAAACAGAAAGAAAGAAAGAAAAGAAATATACTATGCTTGCAAAAAAAAAAAAAATGCTTAATCCTAGTGTTCAGAACCTTGAATTTCAAACATGTGCATCAGATCACCCACAGGAGCTTTTCCCAAAATCCCACTCTCAGAACCCCTACCCCGACCCCAAGCCCCTTCAGTGACTGCTGGCAGGAGGGTCTTGGGGAATATGGCTTTCAGGCAGCCCTGGAGTGCTGTTTAGCCCTGTCACCTGTGGTGGCCGCTGGTGCTGTGGTTGGTTGCTCTGATTCCTCAGCAGAGATTATTGAGTGTCCTGAATGGTGTCTGTTAAGATACCTCAACTCGAGCGGCCAGCTCCCCCATATTTCCTCCTCCAACAGTAGCTGGAATGCCAGGGTTTGTGGATGGGACACACACACTAGGCAGGTGAGAGGAAAAGTAAACCTGCCAGAGACTGGAAAGGAGGAGCTCTAGACGCTCCACCTCTGACAAAGACATCCTTGCCATTTGCTTTAGATGCTGGTGACAGAGGGCCCACAGAACTCTGCCAGGGTGAGGTGGGTAGGGAACCCTTTCTCAGGTCATTACAGCGTCTCAGACATTCTCTGTGAACATCGCACGTGGAGGATTCGCTGTTGGCACTCTTCCGTTCCCAACGGAGACGGCATTGGCTTTCTTCTCTGACAGTAATAATAAGCCCTAGCCTCTGTAGAAGGCCCTAATGGGCCAGGTGCAAAACGCACGAGCCATGTGCAAAACGCACGAGCCATGTGCAAGCTGTCACTGTCTCCCACTTCACAGGTGAAAAAGATTAAGCAGCGGGCCCAGGGTCAGCAGCTCATCCATCAGTGGTGGACTCAAACCCAGGCCTGTCAGAGTCGTGAGCTCCCCTCACTCCTCACAGCACCTTTGTTTAGGATCCATGACTGCCCTTCAGGAACACACGTCCATGATGTTATCTAGCAGGAGTTGGCATTTGCCAGCCCACATTTGTAATATTTTGTACAAAGTGCTTTCTCTATGTGCTTCCCACCACCGGATCCCCCTGCCTGTGGTATCTGCTCTTCCAATGTATCCACATCGTCTGATTTTCCCAAGAGGCCAGGACTTTTAAAGGACAAAACTGTGTTTTCCTGAAAGGCCGACCTTCTAAAGTCTAGAAACCCAGAATCCCCTGTTAATGGCCATCACCATTTCTGAGAACCCCTGAGTTCAGTCTCTCCATTCTGTAAATGAGGACGCTGAAGCCCCGAAAGGGAATGAGATGCTTTAACTGTAGTGAAGAACATAAAGAACCACAATTAAACCCAGACCTTCACACTCCACAATGGTGCCTGCCTTCCTTCCACCCACTGCTCCCCCACCCTCTTCCTGCCTCCTTCCCTCCTCCACTCCCCTCTGCTCCCATCCCGCTCTCCACTGATGGCTCTGCCTCTCTCTATTCCTGCCTCTTTTTCTTCCTCTTCTCTGCTTATTTCCCTTTGCTGTGCTCCCTTTCAGCCAGGACTGTCTCTACTGCTTATTTATTCACCTGTGCAGCTGCCAGCCCTTATCTACTGACATCTCCAAGAGTATCCATGGTGGAACGGGTGTAAGGAGTAGCCCCTGGGCAAAGCCTCCCAGGGACTGTTTGCTATGCCACCCATCAGAATAGTGCTTCTTCCACCTTGTCTTGGCCTTGGTCATTCTTGGACATTCCTTAAGTATTCCAACTTAAGATGATCCCTGAATGCGCTTGTCTAGAGACCCTTAACACTGCAGTCGAGAACCGTGGACTTCAAAGGTGTGTGTCACATCATTATTGACCACTTCCAAATCTCCCTCCATTGAGATTTGAATCACATGAATCCAAGTCATGGCCCTTCCAAGCAGCACACCCTTGGGCAAGCCGGCTCCCTGCTTTGCGGTTTTCTTGCCTCATCTGTAAGGTGTGCAAAGGTCCCTCCAACACCATCCCTCTGTGAACAGATAAATGTTCTAGTGCCAGGTCAGAGCTGCTGCGGTGAGAGAGCAAGGGCCTAGCGGCTGTTGCTTGTGGAATTGCAGCAGGTGGGGAACTGGGGGGTGGGGCACTGGTCCTCTGCTTATCACATTCTGAAAGAAACCTGATTCATCACTTCCCCAGGAATGCTCAGGTCCTGGAAGCTGATTCCACTAAACACTCTGACTGGCAACCCAGGAGGCCTAATTATTATTAATATGGCTTATTAATTCTTATTAAGAAAGATAATTCATTCTGATGGCTGGCATGTTCTCTCTCCAGAGGGACATCAACATGAGAAATGAACTCAGTGCCAAGGCTGAGGGCCTTTGGTTGGGCAAAGGGGGAGGGCAGAGGTCATTTATGGCACCATCCGCAGAATTATAGAAACCAAGCTGTGGCATCCAGGGACAGGATGCTTGAGCAGCTTAGGGATTTGAGGAGTCATTTCCCTTGGGAGCCCCCAGCCTTCCATTGCACTGTCCTCCTGCATGAGCTGTTGAGGGGACAGGCAGGGCAGCCAGGCCGCCGCAAAGGGTACTGGATGCCCCCATCAGCTACGGTGTGATTGCGCCCTTCTACCCTGCCCCATCCACCTCTCCCATCCTCTTCCAACCTCTCCCAACTTTCAACGGTTTGGCACCTGTGAACTATACCTGGAACCTGAGCCAAGGCTTCACTGGGAAGCCATTGAGGAATGAGCCATTTTTGTGCCAGTAACTTGGTCTTGCAAACTTGCTACAGCTTCTAAACTGACCTTGACTGGTTGTAAGGAAACTATTTGCAGAATGGAAAGCCCTCTCTCCTTCCCTTCTCCAGGCTGCACCAGGAGCCACTCAGCAGGAGCCTTGAGAATTGGTCACTGCTCTCCAAAGAAAAGTGTGCAGACCCTGCCACCTTGTGGCTACCTCTGGTCCTACAGCAGTCCTCACCAGACCCAGCACAGAGATCTCTGCTCTCCCACTGTGGAGGACACCTCGAGGAGAGTCTCTCCACTGCTAGGAAATGGACATTGGGAGTTGAGGGGGGCTACCCCAGACTCTGATGTCTTTTCCTGTTTGTTTGACCACCGTCATGACTCATGGAAGAAGCCCTGCCATTGGCTGAGATGGGAAGGTGGAGGCTAGAGCCGGGGAAGGGGCTATACTCATGGGTGAGACATGCAGTTGTGCGTTGGGTGGAGTGCCTTGGACAGCAGATGCAGACTTGGTGGAGCCAGCTCATCTGTCTCTAACCCTAGCCTGCCTCTCAGCCCAGGAGTCCCCTGAGTGTAAAAGGAGGGTTGAGGCCGGGCATGGGAATTATGCCTGTAATTCCAGCACTTTAGGAGGCCAAGCTGGGCAGAGTAGCTTGGCCAACATGGAGAAACCCTGGCTCTACTAAAACTAAAAAATTAGCCAGGTGTGGCGGCGCATGCCTGTAATCCCAGCTACTCAGGAGGCTGAGGCAGGAGAATCGCTTGAACCTGCGAGGCAGAGGTTGCAGTGAGCCCAGATCGCACCATTGCACTCCAGCCTGAGCAACAAGAGTGAAACTCTGTCTGGAAAAAAAAAAAAAAAAGAGGGAGGTAACCAGGCGACTTCTTAGGCCTCTTCCAGTTCTGATATTGCCTCCAGGCAGGAAACAAGGAAGATCTCCTTACAGCACTCAGCACTTACAGCTTAGAGTAGAGACCTTGTCACCACAGGCATGTGGAGTACCCTGGCCTCCCACCAGCCATGTCCATGTGCCTCTTCACCTCCCAAGAGAGACTTCTGGGTTCCACTGCACTTGGCCAGGAATCTGAGGCAAGGCACACATGTCAGCAGCCTAGGTGAGCGGGCACAGCTGCATCTGGTGAGCTGTCGGATCTGACTCCTCACTCAGGGAGTACGAGTGGCACCCAGTGGCAGGCAGCATGTTCAGGGGTAGGCCAGTATGTTTTTCCCAAAATCCCACAGAGTCAAGCCCAGTTAGAAAGGACTGTGGCTGAGAGCACAGGTTCTGAAGCATCGGAGAGTCCGGAATAGCTCCAGATTCTGCCACTTACCAGCTGGATAACTCTTAGAATTTCTTCAACCTCTCTAAGCTTCAGTTTTCTCACCTATAAGATGGAGATGATGACATCCGCCTCTTAAGTCATTGAGAGGACTAATTGGCATGATGTTTGCAGAACACTTTCATGGAGCCTGGCATGTCTATCGATGACAGTTGTGACCACTGTTTGTTGTTCAGCTTCTAAAGCCAACACATGCATGCTCTAACAATGAAAATTACTGTGTAAACCATCCGACAGGATTCTTAGCTCTTGTCTTAGCCTACTCAGTCTGCTGTAACAAAATGCTGTAGTATTTTGAGTGGCTCAAATGACAAACGTTTATTTTTCAGTTCTGGAGGCCGGGAAGTCCAAGGTCAAGGCGCTGGCAGATTCGCTGCCTGGTGAGGACCCCCCTTCCTCGTTCATAGACAGCTGTCTTCTCAATGCATCCTCACATGGTGGAAGGGGCAAGGGAGCTCTCCAATGTCTCTTTTATAAGGACTGTAATCCCCTTCATGGGAGTTCGGTCCTCATGACCTCATCACCTCCCAAAGGCTCCACCTCTACCACTACCATTACATTGGAGATTAGGTTCAACACATGAACTTTTAGGGACACAAAGCTCCAGACCTTAACACAGCAGATTCAGTTCTTGCTGAGGGCTTCCTTTCTTGCTTGCAGGCACCTCCTTCTTGCTGTGCTGTGTGCTCACATGGCAGAGAGAGAGAGGAGAGAGAGAGAGAGAGAGAGAGAGAGAGAGAGAGAGAGAGAGAAAATGGACTATAGTTTCTCATCTTCTTCTTAAACCTATAAGGACACTAATCCCAGTACGGGGGTCCCATCCTCAGGACCTCATCTAAATCTAATTACCTCCCAAAGGCCCCACTGCCCAGTGCCATCACATTGGAGATTAGGTGTCAATGCATGGATTTTGAGAGAACACATTCAGTCCATAACAGCTCCTAGATATAAACCCTGAATTTCTCTTCTGTAAACCTGCCCCCATTCCTTTTACTTCTGTTGGTTTGTGTTTTGCAGTGATGTGAATGCCAGGAAAATCCTGCCCTCACCTTGCCCCAGTCCACCCAGCCAGAAACAGACCAGCACCAGCACCAGCACCCCCTTGGAAGACAGGTCTGTGGCCTTCTGTTACACCTGTGACAGCCCCTGCAGTGGGCAGAGTGGGCCTCCACCTCCAGTCTACTTTCCAAAGAAGCCCCTTGTCCAGTAGCCACGCAGACAGAGCCCAGGTCTGGTCTCTGCCCCAGTCCCCTGGAAATCCCGTGGAATCTCTCACACAGGCCATCAAAGCTGGGAGGTTTTCTCCCACAGTCACCAGGGCCTTGTGTGGACAGAGTTGCTTCATATCTCCTCGTGAATAGATGTACCTGGCAGCCAGAAAGGGAAGGAGCCAGCCCAGGGCAGCCCTACCACAGAGCAGAACATGAAGCTGACAAGCCTGACCTCAAGGCCCAGCAGCATTTTCTTCCAGGACTTAGCAGAATTGATCAGCACATGGGTGTTTGTATCCTCCGACTAGAATGGCTGCTCAGCCTCCTTCACCAGCACAGCCACTGCCTTGCTTGCCTGGACTCTTGCTTTAGTGCTTCCAGCTGGCTGCAGTTGGAAAGCCAGCACCCAAAACTACCTGTGGGAATGGCCAGTCCCTTGTCACATGCCGTCCTCACTGCCTTGTAAGGAAGTGGCTACTGCCTCCTGCTGTGCAGAGGCACAGGGGTGAGGATGGATGGAAGGCTGGCAAGGCCAGGCAGTTGTGGTGCTCTGAGTTTGCTGAAGGGGAATGCTATATGAAGAAGCTGAATTGAAAAGGGGATGGGAGGGCACAGACAGCCCTCCTTTTCTAAGGAGATTCCAACGCAACATTTCTGCTTACAAATCTCATTGGCCAGCACCTGGTCACCTGACCACACATCACAGCAAAGGAGGCTGGGAAAAGTAGTCTTTTTAGTTGTGGCAACTTAGCTAAATATGGTTCTGTTTTTAAGGAGAGACAGGAGAATAGTAATCTCTGCCTTGAGAGCAAGTAACTAAGCCACATAGGGAATGGGGGTGCTGGGTGCTCTGAGGAGACTGTGAAGGATATGACATCTAAGCTGGGTGCAGAAGTTGATGGGCCCCAGGTCAAGGGGGTGCTGGTTTGGGTAAATCAGGGATGGGAGGACAGGAGGGGTGGTGGTGAGGGGATGGAGAAGGCAGTGAGAGAAAGCACAGCCACCAGGTGATGGTTGGCGGGGAGGGCAGTCCAGGGAGAAGAAGCATCAGAGCAAAGGCCCCGAGGCTGGAAGTGACTTGGTAAATGCAAGTCACTGAAAGAGGAGGGGGCAGCTGGGGCTACTGACCCAGGGTCATATCACACGCAGCCTGGTGGGTCACGGGACAGAATCTGAGCTTTATTCCATGAGTGACGAAAAGCCACTAAAGAGTCTGTATTAGTCTGTTTTCACACTGCTGATAAATTGCCAGCCTGATACCCAAGACTGGTAATTTATAAAGAAAAAGAGGTTTAATTGACTCACAGTTCATGTGGCTGGGGAGGCCTCACAATCATGGCGAAAGGCACATCTTACATGGCGGCAGGCAAGAGAGAATGAAAGCCAAGTGAAAGGGGAAACCTCTTAGGAAACCATCAGATCTCGTGAGACTTATTCAACCACCAAAACAGTATGGGGGAAACTGTCTCCATGATGTAATTACCTCCCACCAGGTCCCTCCCACAACACGTGGAAATTATGGGAGCTATAATTCAAGATGAGATCTGGGTGAGGACACCACCACACCCTCTCAGGCAGTGACCTGACCCAATTTGCATGACAAGAGGCTTATTGTGGCTGCCACACAGAGAAGGCAGGAGTGAGTGAGAAGCAGCCCAGCTGTGTCATGCAGCTTTCTGGGTGAGATCAGTCACCAGAAATCGGAAAGCGTTTTGGAAAGGTAAGAGCTGAGTCCAGTTGTAAGGTGTAGTAAAATGTGACATGTGGTTGCTCCCAGCATACCTGAGAGGCCAGTGTCGTCCATCCCTCTCACCGGAGACAGCCAGACAGACTCGGACATCCTGGCCTTCATCAAGGCCAGACAGAGCATTCTGCAAAGGAAATGTAAGTGTACCTCCTTTGGTGGCTCCTCCAGGGCCGCAGGTCACCAACACTTGTGGGGAGCACACAGTGAGGTGGAAGGAAGCAGGGAGTTTTCTGAACGTTCCTGAAGCCACAGTACTGGCTACCAGTCGCTGACATGTGCCCGGCCTCTGACTCCTTCTTGAGAAAGGCCCAGGGGCCAGCATCAGAAACACCAAGACAGGCCCAAGGGGGTGGGCGGCCCAGGTGTTTCTGCCCCTCTCGGCAGAGCTCGCGCTCACTCTCTTTCTCTCTCTTCCAGATCTTCAGCTCCTTTGTTCTCTGTCCCCAAAGCCAGCTGTCTCTTCTGCTCAGCCTTCTACAAACAGGAAGGGGCTGAGTGATGGTTGGGTAACTTGCTGAACCCCTAGCTTAAAGTCTCACTTCCCTGTCAGAGTGTGTTCTTACCCAAGAGCTATGAGTATAAACACCACTTGAAGGCCCAGACCTGAAGACGCCATAATAATCACAGAGGAGGTATGTGTGGTGTGTCAGACAGTAGGAAGAGAAGAAGGCCCTTCCCGCCCTCATCACTGCCCCCACCCCCGCCCATCCTCTTGGCAGCTGCCCGTCTCCCATCTGCTGTGGATGGGCCATTTCTCCTTCTGCCTTCCATCCCCTACACACCACAGGACAAGCCCCAGGTCACCTTACGCAGGCCTGTGTTTTGTCTTAGCCTCCTCCTGATAACCCAAAGGCTATTAGGCAGGTTTAACGTTGCCTTCGCATTGCCAGAAAGGCGCCCCTCCATGATGGTATGGTCCAGCAGACTGGATGTATGTATAACGACTGATGCCTGCCCCGTGGGGCCTGCACTCAGCTTCTCCACCAGCTGTATGCTGTTTGGGCAGAAAGATGCTTGTGCATGGACGGAGTGCTGCCACTGAGAGCCGTCCTTGGTCCTGCTGTCCTCGCTTCACCAGGCCGCCAGCCTCTCGCTGCCCTCTCTCCCCCACCAGGACGGGCAGCCTCAGTGCCACTGTCAGGTCCTTTCTTAAGCTGGCGACAGCCCCGCGCTGCTGTGATAGCCTGACTCTCGCTCATCTTAGTTCCTTGTCTAAACAAGAAAACCGGATTTGGTGATCACCTAAGCCCCGTCTATGCCCCAAATACTCTGATGAAATGTATCAGGCACTGAACAGAAACAGACAGCTGATCAGTAAGCAAACACTGTATGTGTCGGGTGCCTTCTTAGGCCAGGCACGACTATCGGTACTGGGGCTGCAGCAGAGAACAAGGCGTAGCCCAGCACGTGAGAAACTGACATTCCGGGGAGAGGAAGGAGACAATGAACACATCAACGAATAAGATTATGTGAGGGGCTAATCAGTGCTATGAAATAGCTAAACTATGTAATGTAGACAGTAACTGGGAAGACAGTTTTTAGTTGAGTAGGTGGGGAGGCCTCTCTGGAGAAAAGAACTTTAAACTGACAGCTGCATCGTGAGAACAGAGCAGCCACACCACGTTCTGGGAATGCACAGTCCTAGCAGACAGAGCAGAAAGCAAAAAGCCTGAAGGGGAAGGAGCTTTGGCCACGGGGTGGGAAGGGGGCCAGAGTGGCTGGAGGGCAGGAAGCAAGGGCACAAAGGCCAGGACACGCCAGCCTTATGCATAAGGGGACGAGATTTGGATTTTATTCTGGGTGTGGTGAAAACCCACTGAAGAATTTTAACCATGCAGTGATACGATGTGATTGATGCTTTTAAAAGCTCACTTTGTCTGTCATACGTAGTGTAGAGTGTAGAAGCCAAGAGCAGACCAGTTACCAGGCTGCCATGAAAGTGCCAGCAAGGGGTGAGAGTGGCTTGGACTCAGCAGCAGACTGAATGTGAGATGCAAGAGGAAGAGGAGTCGGCGCACCGCCCGGGCTTTTGATTTGAGCAGCTAAGAGAATGGCAGCGCCATTTACTGAAATGAGAAAGGAAGGGCAGCCCGTCTGTCAGAGGCAGAGAGTTGGAGGGATGGAGAGTTCTGGCTGCCCCATCTGACATCCAAGAGGAGGTGCTGAGTGGACAGCTGAGCGTGAGTGGAACTCAGAGAGAAAGTCTGAGCTAGAAAAACAAATATGCAAGTCGTCATGTCTGGATGGTGTCTGAAGCCACAGGACGGAGTGCAAGGTCCTCTGAAAAGCAGAGATGGGGGTATTCCAGTTGCTGAGAACAGCCCCCTGGGGCTCTCCAGCCGTTTCAGACAGAGAGAGGAAGCTGAGATGCGAAGAAGCCACCGCCAGGGCTCGAGAAGGAACAGCGGATGAGTGGGTATGACCCCAGGCACAAGCTGGAGAAGCACAAGCTCCCAGGAGGGACAGGCCAGTAGAGTCCAGTGCTGCTGACAGGCTGTGTAGCAGCATGGAATGCTGACCGCTGGCCATTTTGCATGCCAGGGTGGCCATGGACAAGCGCCATTTAGGCAGGGGACAGAGTGGCTGGGAAGAGGATGGAAGGGAAAGAAGCTGAGGCAGTGAGCAGACACAGCTCCTCCAGGGGCTTGAGCTGTGACATGGGCAGAGAACTGGGGCTGGAGCTAAGGGAAGCAGGAGCCCAAGGGATGCTTTGTGTGTTCCACAGGGGTCCTGTTAAGACATGCTCACGTGCTGAAACATACAGACAGAGGGAAATTGATGCTGCGGTGGGAGAGGGGGGCAGAGCTGCAGGAAAAACTTCCCTGAGAAGGTAGGGAGGAAGGTGCTGGGGCGTAAATGGAGGAGGGCTTAGATAAGCGGGATACCCTTTGGAGCTGGGCTATCCCTTTCCCCGTAACAAATCCATAGAAACCAACCATCATTCCTCCCCTCAAAAACCTACAAGCAAGCAATATCTTTAAGTTCCGTTCACTAAGCTTTCGTGCATATAAGAGAGCTGTGATCATCCAACTCTCTCCGAACAGAAGAGGCAGAAGTCCTGTTCCCTGTCAGAGTGGCGTGCTCCTGCTAACACCGTCCCAGGCAGTTCAGAGAGCTGGATTGAAGGGCACTTGTTTATTTTAATAAAAGGGCACTTTTATTAAAATACATATGGCAAATTACTAGTTATAAATGTTTTCACTTCTATTAGTTCCTTTGATGCTCTTAGTACTCCTGTAAGGCATGCAGAGCCAAGATTATGATCCCCCTGGTGACAGGTGGGGAAACTGAGGCACACAGAGGTGGAATCACTTGCCCAAGGTTACACAACTGATAAATGGCAGAGCCAGTGTAACCTAGGTTTTCCACTGTCTCCCCACTGGCCCAAACTGTCTTGAAAAGCTGCAACGACCAAGATATGCCCACTCTGCCGTCAGGAGTTCTCCCAGCCTCAGGAACAGGAAGCAGCATTGACAGGAGGAGAGTGACCGCAGCCTCTAACCGCCCTGCAGCTGGGGAGCTTCACTCTCCAAACAAACAGTAGCCTGGAAGTAATTCATCAAAGCAAACGAAATTTCCATGGCTCCATTTTTGTTCTGAAAGGAAGAATATTCACTGGCTTTTCAGTGACCACGGGGCCACAAAGGAAGCCAAAGACAGGTTGACTCGGGGTCCCTCTGCCGCCGGGTCCAAAAGGACCAGCAGGTGTGACCTCTCAGGACATACAGCAGATGGTTCTGGTCCCACCACGCAGCACTTAATATGCCACACACTTATCAGGCCACCCAGGCAAACACGCAGGCTGGGGCCCAGGCACCTTCTCAGCCAAAGCAAACACCTCCCTCTCCCTGCCTGGGCTCTCGAATCTTAATTTCGCGCACAGCGTTGCCTTGGCTTCTTCAGGAGTGCTCATTAAGGGGAATTTGTGGCTGTCGGCTCGGGAGCCGGAGCCCAGAGAGGGCAATTTAACATAAGCCTCGCCACCTCTTAGACTTCACCAGGGGCCAGGATGAATCTACTTGATTTAGGGTTTGTGGAACAGCGTGGAACGTTTAAATCCCTGCCAGAGGCACGTGTGAACAGGTATATAACCCCCGTAAGGGGCATCAGTCATCCATGGAGTCAACGCTGCCGTTTCCAACTGCCAAGGACAGTTTTTACGTCTGTAGAAATAAAGTTAACCCCTTTCTAGAGGGCCTTTTTGTTTTTAATCTTGCTTAATCCCTGAGTTTGGAAGTATTTCCATCCGGAAAGGAACCTTGGTGTGACCTTCATAGCCATGAGTCTGTCTTCTCCAACAGGTGTTAGGAAGAGGTCCTGCCTCTCCCAGCCCCTCCAGCCCCACTTGGAGAAACCCCCCAGCTCTCTTCTGTGTTCAGAAACCCTCCCAGGGAAAGAGAGAGACCCCCGAACTGGGAGGGAAAAGGCCAGAATTCCAAGGCCATCTCAGTTCTGTGCGACGCTGGGCAGGTCACCTCCCCGAGCCTCCCTCTCACTGTTTGTCATGTACAAGCTCCACCCTTGCCCAGGCTTGATCCTTCCCAGATAACATCCATTAAAGCCCCTCATCCATGCCCAGGCACCAAGGGGTTATTAGCAGGGAAGGGGCCTCTGTGGTGAGAGCTGGCCCAACACCATGAGGGGTGATTTTTTTTAATGGTGTATTTGTACCATGCCTTCCATTCTGGGAGCCCACAGTAATCAAAATCCCAGTAGAGACAGAGCTTCATCACTTAACTGGGGCCATAAGTGAATGAGCTGGAAATGGTGCCTTTTGTGTTGAGGTCTGTGCGTGTGAGGAGCTATGTCTTGGAGCAAAGCGTTCTCTCAGCCCTACTCTGGAGCATTTCTTCCTAGGCCCCACCCCACCCACCCCCATCATTACTGCATGCAAGTATGTGAGGGGCTCAGAGACCATCCTGAGTGGGAGATGGCTGAGACTCTGTGCTCTTCACCACCAGCAGCATTCACAATCCTGGCCCAGGCTGCATGTCAGCAATGCAGCAGAAACTTCAGACCCCAGAGCTCATCAGTAGCCACATGCCCACAGGCCCCCAGCTCTTGCCCTGTGGGTTCTTGTACTAGAGAGACAGAAGCAGCAAGTTTCAGACCTGACCGTACATGAGAATCACCTGGACCCACCTCAGCGATCCTGACTTAATGGTTCTAGGCTGTGGTCTGGGCACCAGGATTTCTAGAGTGTCCAGGGATTCCCACTGTGTAGCAGAGCTGAGAACCACGAGTCCAGAGTGACTGGACTCCATCATAGGCTCTGGTGTACCTTGTCTTCCTACTTCCTGTTCTAAGATTCAATTCAGACAGGTCAGAATGTTTTAAAAATAAGGACCATATTTGCTTAATTAAACAGCAAGGTCCGCTGGGCATCGTGGCTCATGCCTGTAATCCCAGTACTTAGGGAGGCCAAGGTGGGCCAATCACTTGAGATCAGGAGTTCCAAGACCAGCCTGGCCAACATGGTGAAACGCCATCTCTACTAAAAAGAAAATACAAAAATTAGCCAGGCATGGTGGCGAACTCCTATAATCCCAGCTACTCTAGAGGATGAGGCAGGAGACTCACTTGAACCCGGAAGGTGGAAGAGCAGTGAGCTGAGATCTCACCACTGCACTGCAGCCTGGGAGACAGAGGAAAACTCCATTAAAAAAAAAAAAAAAAAAAAAAAAAAAAAAAAAGCCAGCCAGCGGTCTTGCATACAGAATTAGAACTGAAGGACCAAGGGCTCACAGCCTTGAATTATTTCCAATCTCTTTGCACGAACTCGACATTCAGTATGTCATCAAGAATGATGTCATCTTCCTCCACAATATCAAGCCAACCAAGCCCACACTGTTCTCCCACTACCAGGTTCCCATGGCCACACCTGGATGGCTGCAGCTGCCTGCTCACCTGTTCCCTGACCAGCCTCACCCCTCAGTCTCTCTGTCCACTGTAATTTTTTTAAACATTGCATTACTTCACCCAAGAGTCTCAGAAATTCTCTCTTGCTCTTATTAAATTAGCCAAACTTTAAGCAAAATAACTGCATATCAGTCTTACCAGTTCTTCTTATACTTTAACGTGCTAATGAATTGACAGGTTTTGTCAAAATACAGATTCTGATCCAGTAAGTCCATGGTGGAACATGCCTTAGACTCTGCGTTTCTTAACCTTTCTGGAAATACCAGCACTGCTGGTCCATGGACAGCACTTTGCGAATCAAGCAGCCGCCTTTCTTTTTCTAGGTATCCCATCTGCTCTAGCAAGGAGAAATGCGAGACCCAGAGAATTGACGTGACTTGTCCAAAGTCACCGTGATTTGGGGACTGTCCTGGCTAAAACTCATGGTCCCTGGTTCTCAATCCAGAGAACCTTCTTTATGCCCAGCCACAGGAGGTGACAGGATGGGGGCCATGTGGTCAGGAGGAGCCATCCTGAAGTCTCATTAATATCCGGAGCAAAAAGCAAGGAGAAAATCTCTCCGAGGATTAGGTAGGATGTAGGGTTGGCTGGGTATGGTGATGTTATCCCAGCACTTTGGGAGGCCAAGGTGGTTGGATCAATTGAGCTCAGGAGTTTGAGACCAGCCTGGCCAACATGGTGAAACCCCATCTCTGCTAAAAATACAAAAATTAGCCAGGCATGGTGGCAGGTGCCTGTAATTCTAGATACTTGGGAGGCTGACACAGGAGAATCACTTGAACCCAAGAGGTAGAAGTTGCAATGAGCCGAGATTGTGCCACTGCACTCCAGCCTGGGCAACAGATGGAGACTCCATCTCAAAAAAAAAAAAAAGAAAAGAAAAGAAAAAGAAAAAGGCAAAAAAAAGAAAAAAGAAAACCATGGGGTAGGAAAACAGGCATCAGTCCCAGCTCAGAGAGGAAATTCTACAAAGGGCGAAGGTGCCTCTTCCTCCAGAGGCTGGGGTGTAAATGCAGCTCCTGGGAAGCAAGACACCGATGCAGTGCCCAAGATCCAGGGGGAGTGGCTGGTGACCTCCCTTCATCCCCATTCAATCCTGGGAAAAGTCAGAGTCAGCATGCACAGCCTAACCCAAAGCACCATGTCTCCCTTTCAGGTTTGGGAAGCAATTGAATTTCCAGGAAGTATCCAGCCATGCACGAATGAAGTACAGATGAAGGCAACACCTCACTTGCTCTGGCTTCAGAAGTGGTCTGTGAGCTGCTGGGAGCAACTAGTGACTTGGATTCCCATGGAGTGGGCTGTGTTTCTTTAAGGATACTGTCCAGGAGGGCTGAGGCTGACCATGACATCCTTCCTGTGGTTGCTGTAGCTGCTGGCAGGGCCGGGCAATGCCAGAGTGCTATGGGCAAGGTGAGGGCTTCAGCTCACTGTTGTAGTGATGTTACATGTAGGTCATTATAAACTTTTGAGAATGTAAAATAGCCCTGTCATAATATGATGTCAGGGAAGCTCACACTGGTAGAAGGTGGTGGGGGGGGGGAATAATAATCGGTTATTTTTAGTGATTGCCAGCCCTCTCCCTTGGCCCATGCTCTGGTTTGAAAGCCCAGAAATGACCGTGACAGGCCCAGGCAGGATATCCGAGGCACAGACAAGGCAGCGAAATATAGGGCATCTTGAAGGCCAATCCTGATCTCCCAGACCACATCTTCCACCATCAGTCTCTTGGCCAGGATGACCTGGAGGCAGTGCCTGAACAGCTGTGTCTCCAGGGAGCCACCTGCCCTGCAGAGTCTAAGGACATCATAGCACCCGGAGAACAGCGGGCAGTTCCTAAGGGCTCTGCTGAGAGCTCGAGAGAGGGCACCGTGGGTACCTTGGGCCTTGCAGCCTTCACCCCACCACTTGGGGCCTTGCAGGATTTAGGTAGACACTTCCCGCTTCCACAAGGAAAAATGTCGCTGCCTGGGGGTCTTGTCTCCCCTGGCCCTCTCCATGACAGAGCCCAGGGAAGGTGGGCAGTCCTCAAGGAGTTTCTTGAAGAACTGCCTCCTGGGTCAGGGGGTTCCAACCCAGTTGCAGCCAGGGAGAAGCAGCGGAGATGAGCAGGGGTGGCACCTGAAAATGGAACTAGCTGAATAAAAGTGCTTGTCCACTGCTCCTGTATCTCTGTCCTATAAATATAGGACCTAGTGACCCTGGATGGGGAGCAGAGAGGTAATATAGTATAACGGGCTTGATTTTCTTTTTCCTTTTTTAGGACTGGGTAAAAGGATCATGCAGGAGAAGATAAAACCATTACAATTCTAAGCTAGGCAGGCTCATCAAGCTCCTCTAATACACACCTCTAGTTTATGTAATTAAAAGACTAGAGCGGCTGGATGTGGTGGCTCACACTTGTAATCCCAGCACTTTGGGAGGCTGAGGCAGATGGATCACCTGAGGTCAGGAGTTGGAGACTGACCTGACCAAAATGAAGAAACCCCATTTCTATTAAAAATACAAAATTAGCTTGGCATGGTGGCACATGCCTGTAATCCTAGCTACTCGGAAGGCTGAGGCAGGAGAATGGTTGAACCTGGGAGGTAGAGGCTGCAGTGAGCTGAGATCACACCATTGCACTGCATTCTGGGCAAGAATAACAAAACTCCCTCTCAAAAAATAAAGGAGACTAGAGTGAAGAGGAGAGTCAGCTTGCTATTCTGTGCTAGTTAGTGACAAATGTCCCCTCTTCAGAGGGCTTCCCCTGACCACTCCGTCTCGAGTCACCCCCTATTTATCCCCTATCCCATTACCATTTTTTCTCCATCACTATCTGACATTTTATTCTTCCAAACTTGCCTATTTTTGTAATACAAAATAGGCAACCCCTCATAATACTAAGAGCTCCAATGCAACAGGGGCTTGTCTTGCTCATTGCTGTGTCTCAGGCACAGAGTTGCTGTTCCGTAAACAGTCTCAGTTCATGAGTGGACAGCCAGTAAACAGTCCGTGAGTGGACGAGCCAGAACCCAGATGTGTTTCTCAGGCTTGTGTCACTCTGACTTCCCCCGGGGTTTTAATTGAATCATACTGGGGGAGGGGCCCCCATCTCTAGTCCACTCCTGGCCCTCACAGTTCAATGGAACATAGTCCTCTGTAGTCTGTAGAACTAGAGGAAGACCAAATTCTGATTCTAGAAGCTTCCCCAGGAGTCCGTGGGACACACATGTAAATGCACACACACACACACTTTCTCTCTTGGGAGCCCTGAAGATGGCATGGCCTTTGCCGTGTCCCCCGTGTAGCAGCAGTAGTATTCCTGGCACGCCTTAGTGCCTTCAGCCTTCTAGAGGTGGGTCGCATCTACTGATGTTTTTATTTTCTTGTATTTATTTTTTGAGATGGGGATCTCGCTCTGTCACACAGGTTGGGGTGCAGTAGTGCAACCATAGCTCACTGTAGCCTGCAACTCCTGGGCTCATGTGATCCTCTCACCTTGGCCTTCAAAGTAGCTAGGACTATAGGCATGCACCACCACACCTAGCTCATTTTTAATTTCTTCATAGAGACAGGGTCTCACTATGTGGCTCAGGCTGGTCTCAAATTCCTGGCCTCGAATTTGAGGCCTTGAATGGCTCCCGCCTTGGCCACGCTCCCGCCTTGGCCACGCTCCCGCCTTGGCCACGCTCCTGCCTTGGCCTCCCAAAGTGCTGGGATTGCAGACATGAGCCACAGCACTGTGCCAGTCTTTCGACATTAGATCTCTCACTGAGACATCATTTCCCGGATCCAAAGGCCTTATTGACCGAGATGTGTGGCATAGCCCATGCATGGTGTGAACCAGCCTCCTGGGCCAATCTCTTAAGACAGGAAAGGAAATGAAGAAGACAGAAAAACACACAGCCTGGGATCTGGGTCACTGGTGTCCAGACCATATGCAAAGCGTGTGCAGCAACTGGCCCAGGAGGCTCTTGCTCCAAACGTCTCCTCCCAATGGAAGCCCGGCCTCTGGTATGGACTCATGCTTGACGGCAGTGCACCTTCGCCAAAGTTCACTGGACTCTGCATATGGGATAAATCAGTGCATGTTTGAAAAGACTTTCCAGCAAGCAATCCACCTGGGCTCAGTGGAGCCATGGATGACAAGAAGTATCTGAGTTCACTCTAAGCCAAAATGTGAAGTTTTCCAAAATGTTTTCTGGAAAGCAGCATAGCCAGTGACTCCAGCCCAGTCTCTGCTAGAATTCAACTGGCTCTACCAATCCCTTGACAGGAAGTGGGCTGGAGGGAGATTAAAATGTAGCTTGCTCAGATCTTGCTAAAAAGGATTTTTAGAAAGGAGATAGAGAAACTGTGGTATACCAAGTAAGTCGCTTTAATTCTCCACCACCTGTATAGAATCATACATCCAAAGCGGTGTTATGGCCCACTTTGAGTAATGTGATGTTGGCACCTACAGTAGCCATGATAAAGCAACAAGGACTTGATTTACCTCCTGCTTTAAATGGTTAAAAATGAGACAAAATCCTCTATAGAAACCATTGGTTTTCAGCCATTGGATAACAGGCAGTATGGGGCATTATTGAACCCCAAGAGAAGAGAAACAAGTGAGGGGAGCCCTGTGATTGCTCCAACTTACTGCCTGCAGTGAGTTTTCAGGCTGCAACCCAGGAAGGGGGAACCAGGGAGAGCCCAGTGGTTTCCCTGAGTTGAGGAAATGGAGGTGGGAATCCAGGGAGGATAAAGAGGCTTATATTTGCAAGGCAGAGTCCCAGTGATGAGAGAGAGAGAGAAAGCAAGTGGGCTCTGGAGACCTTCAGAGGGTTACTCTTGAGTCTTCAGCTGATCAACATATGCATGTGAGGAAATTACCCAAGGCAAGAGAAAGAACCGCCAGGAAGGAGCAGGTCCTGAGATAACACTGGGTTAGGGAGAGTTCCTGTTCCCAACAGCCAGAGTGGAGAAACCTCCTCCCAAAACGGTCGTTGTATAGAGACACAGAAGGTACTGCCTCAGAAGTGGGGCCAAATTAGTCTGAGATGATAGATTGTTGTGGTCCCACCTAACAAAGCTTAAAAAGCCAGCCTCAAAGGAGGCAAATTGTTTCCAGGTAACTTCACTGAGTCCTAAACAAAGCTCAAAAATAGCTAAAGGAATACAAAAATAGATAAATAAATAAATAAATAAATAAGTAACTAGCATCCAACAATATAGACTCCACAATGTCTGATATCCAATAAAAAATAATCAGGCATGCAAAGAAGCAGAAACATGTCAGCCGTAAGAGAAGAAACAATCAATAGAAATAGAGGCCAGGTGTGGTGGCTCACAACTATAATCCAGCACTTTGGTAGACTGAGGTGGGAGGATCACCTCAGGTCAGGAGTTCGAGACCAGCCTAGTCAACATGGTGAAACACCATTTCTACTAAAAATACAAAAAATAGCCGGGCATGGTGGTGGCAGGCACCTGTAATCCCAGCTACTCAGAAGGCTGAGGCAGAAGAATCACTTGAACCCAGGAGGCGGAGGTTGCAGTGAGCCGAGATCGTGCTGTTGCACTCCAGCCTGGGCAACAAGAGCGAAACTCCGTCTCACAAAAAAAGAAAAGAACAAAAAGTTCTGGCAGCAGCAGCTCAAGTGGCCAAAGCAAGATGGGTCAAAGTCAAAGTGGTGGTCATGATCCTGAAGGTGGCAAGAAGGATGACAAGAACAAGAAAAAGAAATATGAACCCCCTGTACCAACCAGAGCAGGGAAAAAGAAGATAACAAAGAGACCCGATGCTGCCAGCAAGCTGCCGCTGGTGACATCTCACACCCAGTGCCAGTTAAAATGACTGAAGTTAGAATTAAAGACTATCTTTTCACGGAGGAAGAATTCATTAGAAATCAGGAGCTAATGAAACTACTAGAAGAAAAGCAAGAAGAGGAAAGATCAAAAGTGGATGATCTAATGGGGACCCCGATGTCAGTAGGAACCGTGGAAGAGATCATCCACGCATCGTGTCTGCATCTGTGGGCTCAGAACACTATGTCAGCATTCTTTCGTTTGTAGACAAGGATCTGCTGGAACCTGGCTCCTCAGTCCTGCTCAGTCATAAGGTGCATGCCGTGATAGGGGTGCTGATGGATGACACGGATCCGCAGGTCACAGTGATGAAGGTGGAAAAGGCCCCCCAGGAGACCTATGCCAGTGTTAGGGGGTTGTACAACCAAATTCAGGAAATTAAGGAATCTGTGGAGCCTCCTCTCACCCACTCTGAATATTATGAAGAGATGGGTATAAAGCCTCCTAAGGGGGTCATTCTCTATGGTCCACCTGGCACAGGTAAACCATTGTTAGCCAAAGCAGTAGCAAACCAAACCTCAGCCACTTTCTTGAGAGTGGTTGGCTCTGAACTTACTCAGAAATACCCAGGTGATGGGCCCAAACACTCACGGGAATTATTTTGAGTTGCTAAAGAGCATGCACAGTCCATCATGTTTATTGATGAAATTGATGCGTTGGGGACAAAAAGATACGATTCAGAT